GTTGTTTGAGACACTAGACACCAGACTGTTTGAGACACTAGACACCAGACTGTTTGAGACACTAGACACACTAGACACCAGTGAGCGACACCAGACCTTGTTGAGACCTAGACACCAGTCTGTTTGCGACACTAGACAACAGTACTGTTTTTGAGACCACTAGGACACCAGTCTGTTTGAGACCTACTAGGCCACCAGTCTGTTTGAGACACTAGACACCAGTCTGTTTGAGACACTAGGCACCAGACTGTTTGAGACACTAGACACCAAGCTGTTTGAGACACTAGACACCAGTCTGTTTGAGACACTAGGCACCAGACTGTTTGAGACACTAGGCACCAGACTGTTTGAGACACTAGACACCAGACTGTTGAAACACTAGACACCAAACTGTTTGAGACACTAGACACCAGACTGTTTGAGACACTAGACACCAGACTGTTGTTTGAAACACTAGACACCAGACTGTTGTTTGAATGCTGATCACCATGAGGGCCTAGTCATTGATGTAGAATTGAATGCAGACATGGGCAGGAAATGATCACGCAACAACAATTAAATCATTGCGAGTCAGTGTACCTGAGTTGATTTGAACAGCTGAGATGTTGAAGTGATGTATTCCATTTTAGATGGACACTTTCAGATAGTTTAACACCATACATAGAACTTGCATTGAGCAACAGCATGTTTTAAACCAAGGCTTTTCTGTTAGTTGTACGTTGGAATGACTCTGAATTGAACCATTTCGTAAGGCTGTTCAATTCAATTCCTTTTCAAGGGCGTGCAAAAGCAGATAGAAAACCTTCACCTCTGAATCGGTATTACACACTCATTCCTCTCCCTTCATCAGGACACACTGAGAACGTACCATACTGCAGGAAATAGCCTATATTGAGCCACCTGAGAGGGTTAGCATAGCATTAGCATTTCCCCATCATAAAGTGTCCCATTCTGCCTGCCAAGTGGCCACCACAATACAGGCATAAGCACTTGGTGCTGGCAGGTGTTCCATTATGTCCTCATAGGCACTTCACTTTGCCGTAATGAGCCTCGCTCTCTGATTACACACACACAACACACACACACACACTCACACACACACACACACACACACACACACAACAAACACAACACACCCACACACTCAAACAAACACACACACACACACACACCACACAAACACACACACATCACACAACACAACACACACACCAACACAACACACACACCACACACCACAACACCACCCCACACCACACACACCACACACTCACAAACACACACACACACACCACACCCACCCCCCACACACACACACACACAACACACAACCACACACACCATGCACACACACACTCCAACACCCACCACCCACACCACACACACACTCACACACCCACCACACACACCACACACACCAACACCCACCACCACACACACCAACACAACCCACCCACACCACACATCACCACCCCCACACACCCCACCACACACAACACTCAACAAACCACCACCACAACACCACAAACACATGCACTCCACACCCTACACCTGCCACACTCACTCACCACAACACGCCACACCCAACCGCACACACATCACACTACACACACATCAACATCACACACATGCACAACACACACACACATGCACACACACACTCACAAACACACACACACACTCACACACACACACACACACACACACACACACAATCAAACCAAACCAAAAACCATGGCAATACTGCAGCTGTTCCTGCTGCCTGCTCCCTTCAGTGTCTACTGCTCTCCTCCTGTTCCCAGGGCTAAATGCAGTACGGTAATTTAACTGCCTCTTTCAATTGGGGACACGCAGGAAAATGGCTAGTTGGTCATCATCTGACCGCTGGTAATATGGTTTGTGAGGACGGTAAGAAGGGTGGAGATATCTCCATTAGGTTCGTGGGCCATATTCATAAAGCGTCTCAGAGTAGGAGTGTTGATCTAGGATCAGTGTTTGGCTTTTAAGATCACAGTGAATAAGATCATATGGACAGGGGGGACGACATGGCCCTAGATTAGCACTCGTACTCTGAGATGCTGGTTGTTTGAGAACAGTAACAGTGATGAACTCAAAATCTAAGTCAAGAGTGAAACTTTTCCCAAGTGAGTCAGGTAAAAAAAAGCAACAACAAAAAAAACAGAGGGAGTGATTTTCCAGGATGCACTTTACAGAGCGAAAAAAAAAAAAGGCTTCCATTACTTCTATTACGTAACGAGAATGTCCCCGTCAAGTCGCTTTGATAGATACTGTATGGTCTAGGTCAGTTCATGTTTCAGCAGTACAGCGAATCAGCGATTATTAAAGGACATGGTATCCACCTTCGATGCCTTTTGCCCCAATTTTTTTTAAACGTATTATCCTCTTTTACTGACTTAGTCTGCCAGTAAGCTGTAGAATATTGCCACTAGCAATGAAAATGTGCTTCCACGAGATTAAGGTCAACAATGTAGTATTCCAATAGTGTAGCATTCATACTCATAGATAATATGAAACATTCATTTTCATATCAAGACATAAAAATGTACACAAATAGGGGTTAATAAAAGGACAAGTGCTGTGTTAAATGCATAATGTCCTTTATTCTTGTGACTCAATATATACAATTAAATATAAACATGTAGGCACACATGATGTCTATACAGGCATTTGATTAAAACAGTGTAAGTATGAAATTCAATAATTCTGGCTTTGAAATCGACTGAAAATAGGCTTGAATTCTTGTAGCGTTGGTCTTTGAAGCACTTTCCTAACCCACGGAACACTTCACTGATGATGTTTTACTGTACTCTGACGATCCACTTAATTTACTTAAGGAAGGGATTAGAACTGTCATCCTCTAGTTACTTTGGATGAGCCTATTTGCATAAACGTATCTAGCTCGATTTAACAATATTATTGACTTGTCCAATATCTTACAGTTTCTCTACTCACTTGCTCTGTATACAAAGATAGCCAGTGCAACAATACAAGCTAACTATGAAGCCAGAATGCACTGCTTATAGTAACGACACCTGCCATACTGGAAATATATACAAACATGCCATTCCTTTCATTTCAATTGTCTGCAAAGGTTTTAACAATAAATATGATGTAAAATACAATGTTACATATTGAGTATGGTTCTCCAAAATAAAGTGGATGAAACAGACGTATGTTCAATGTGTACAGCTTGTTTACATGAAACAGGTCTGCTGAAATGGATAAAGTCAGCTAGAAACATTTGTTTTCAGTGTGAGGGATATTTTAATATTTTTTTAAAACTCTCGTTCTGTCTTTATCGTAACACACTGATCAATACCACAACTACCACTATATAGGGTTATATGTTTGCTCTGACTGCCATTTTGTGACAGTACCTTATTTTGAAATAGGTAAAACAATTTGTCGACACAGAGATGTTTACACTTCATGCTTTCTAGGAGCAATGAAATTGAGATTAGTTGAAAAAGTGAATCTATGCTTATTTCCTATGTTAAATTGACTTCCTCCAATTTATGGTAAAATATCATTCCTATTATAGAAATGTAATTTAAAAAAACTTTAACTATATTGACACAAGACATACACATTTGCATATAATGGATGATGATGGTAATAAATCTGGTGGTGACAAGGAAATAAATTAATGGCAACCCAATACCTCCAAAGGAAGTAACCTCACAAATCACACAGTTTATCTATGTAATATTGCTATGAAGCTCCTATCTCCCCCTGCCATTTCCCCTGATAGAAGTCTATCGAAAATATCTCAAAAGATAACTAACAATGTATATCAACTCGACTGCAACGCAATCTACAACTATGATCTATGATCAAAACCAGTCTCAATTCTAAGGAATAGTCTTTGTTACACAATCTAAAAAGGTTTATAGTGCCTTTTTCCATTGTAGTTAATTGTAGTTCTCCTTGTCAAATAGGCAATAACACCATAAATATTAGTAAAACAAAATATTTCTAAATGTATCATCAGCTCACGTCATGCCACCATCATTGGTACAGATCTGACAATAAATCCATGTTTGTATAATTTATCTTGGGGATATTGGGGATACATTGGCTGTAACTTGTCAGCAGCGGTTCGAACAGTTTAAATAGAAAATATAACCTTCACAAAAAAAGAATAAACTATAAAAATATAAATAAAAAACAACAGAGTACAACATTTGTATTTTGTGTTTAAGTACCTTCCAGACAGCTTGCCCACTTTAACTCAAGTGCCACGTCCGCTCCTAAGAATATTGCTCCTGTATAGCAATAACATTTTTAAATAAAATAAAAACATATTGGGAGCAAAATATGAGTTGGTTTGCATTCTAAAACATCAATTTCCAGGTCACCATTTTGCTCCTTGGCAATGTCTTTTCAGCCCGTCAATGTTTTGCAGACTTAAAAATCTAGTGGTTTCTAAAATGTCAGCTAAGGGATCCATGCATCTCTCGGACTGCCTCTGTTTAGCTCGGCTCTGTCCGTCTCTGGGGTTTAGGTGGAGGTTAGGGGTCTCTGGGGGTTAGGGGAAGGTTGCCAAGCACTGGTGCTGATTAGTGTTGAGACCTTGAACGGGTGCAATTCTGCAGTAGGTTAAATTAAAGAATCACCTTGGTTGCAAACTTGGAATTAGTATGATTTCATTCAAAGCGTCTCTTTGTGTATGTGGCTTAAAATGAGAAATCTTCTTCACGGGGTCTCTTCCGCTCTGATTGATTGGCTGTTGGATGTGACAATGAGTCAGGCTGAATAAATCTTAGTGGAGTAGGCATACCCTTGTTTCTCTCTTTCCGTTGGGTGTAAACTTCCAGGTATTTTAGCTTGTCTGGAAGAGTGTGTCTTACGTTGCACAGTCTGCCCCATGGCAAGAGTCCGAACCCCCTCCAAACCTTGTTTCTCCCTCGCTCCTTGCCCTTCGTCCTTTTGAGATTTTTCCGGGCCTCTTCCACCTCCTCCTTCTCCTTATGTCCACCTCACATGACCACACACTTGCCCTTGAGCTTCTCTGCACGTTTCTGCTGCTTTGATTTGCCATCGATCTGGAGGCTGACAGTCCTGCGCTTCTCCAGGTTGAGCAGCTCCTGGAAGAGCTCCTTGACGTTGTGGTTGGTCTTGGCCGACGTCTCCATGAAGGCGCACTTCCACTTCTTGGACGTGGCCTCCCCGTCCGAGGTCTCCACCTCGCGCGCCGATGTCTCGTCACACTTGTTGCCCACCAGCATGATGGGACACGTCTCCAGTTCACCCTTGATCTGACAAACCTGCTCGTAGATGGGCTTGAGCTCCTCCAGGGACTGGCGGCTGGTGACGGAGTAGACCAGGATGAAGGCGTGGCCCTTGGAGATGGACAGACGCTGCATGGCGGGGAACTGGTGGCTGCCCGTGGTGTCTGTGATCTGTAGTGTGCAGATGCTCTTGTCGCAGCTAATCACCTGTCTGTACGTGTCCTCCACGGTGGGGATGTAGCTGTCGCGGAAGGTCCCCTTGACGAAGCGGAGAACCAGGGAGCTCTTCCCCACACCTCCGGCGCCGAACACCACCACGCGATAGTCGTTGCTCTGCTCCGGCATGATGATTGTTTATCTGGGGATCTGTATGGGAGCAGGAGACAACAATAGGCAACCTCTTGTTTACAATCATCAATCTCTTGATTGATGAAAAAATATTTGCATTTCTTACAGTGCTTGGTATTAGTCGTACACCATTAATTCCTCCTTTTAGAATTGAAAAAGTGATTTAGTATGATGCGCCTGAATGGGAATTAGTTTAACAATGCACCAGAGATAGGCTGGCAAGACAGCAAACTGAAAAGGCACACCATCTAAGCAGCAAAATAGGGCCAGTTTGTTGCAGCATTTTATTTTTTTATTTATTTATTTTTTTTACATCATGATAGGGTCTCTTGGACATTTTTGTAAACCTTACTCCAAGTCCTCATTACGCTCTTAGAAAAAAAGGTGCTATCTATGGCTGTCCCCATAGGAGAACCCTTTGAAGAAAAACTTCCAGGTAAAACCCTTTTGTGTTCCATGTAACCCTGTCCAAAAGGGTTCCACTTGGAAGCAAAAAGTGTTCTCCTATTTTTTTCTAAGAGTGAACAGACTACTGCACAAATTCAATTCAGGAAGGATAATCAAGATGGTCCTGTGAGAAAATATGGAGACAGGCATGTGCCGAACCACAACCATTGTTCCTTCCAAGTGTGTGCAAAGCAGGTGTTTGATTTTTGAGCCCATCAATTCCACCCATACCCATAACGGTTTTAGATTCCCAGCTAAAACTACCCAGTGTCATATGCTAACTCAGCATTCTCATTGGATCAAAGAGAGGGAAGTCAATGACTATGCAAGACCACCACAGGAAGGAAAAACTGAAAACATTACTGTCATTATAGTCTCAAAAGCCTTAGGCTTTAATTTATTTCACTACATAAACGTGTTTGTGGCGTCAATGAGCATAATTTCAGCTAATTCCATTCTTTATAGCCTACAAAATTAGAAGGTCAGGAAGAGTCCATGTCAGTGACTGGTTGACATAGCATCTACATCTTGAATCATACCAGTGCTTAAGGTGAGTGTTATGGTGTTCCTTTTTATATCGGAATAAATAACTAGATACTACTTTTGAGCTGATTATTTTAATCTGCATGGCTTTTAACGAGAACTGTTTGGTTCAGAGTAGGCTTCTTTAAATTCCATCCTTTTCGCGTTCAATTGAGAAGGCAATGAGCCGCTGACGTGCCAAAGATGCAGTCTGGATGCAGGCAATTAGATGCGGTCAAAAACTACCGCATAGTGGGAACAATGGACTATACACCGCCCACCATCCTTATCCCCTCTTTTGTACCAATGTTATTTTATCGAAAATAATTAGATTAAGACAGGAAAAACAATAGATAGCTAATAGACACGCGGATGTCAATGCGTGCGTGCATAAAGATTACATAATAATTTGGCACAGAATACTCACGTATCAACACAAACGATGAAAAGATGAAACTTTAGACTGTTGATCTCATGTTGTATCGAAGGGATTGAAATATCAGACAGTGCATGTCGTTCCGTCCGCATTGAGGTCTGCCTCTAAAAATCCATCTGTGTGTGGACTCGGGTATTTAATGCGCAGCTTGCAGGAGAGGAGATTTGCGTCTCTCTGTAGGTTTTGCTCCTCGTGACGTAGGGTGGAACCTCGCTGCTTTGCTGCTTGCCCTGCTGCAACACACAAACACCTCCAAGAAACCCCGCTGCGTGGGCAGCCTTGCGACTCATGAATCCATATCACCACCTATTCCATACAGAACACATGTTTTTAAACATATTTATTACTGAACAGTTGATCATCAACAAGTTGGCTATTCAACTCAGCCTAGGTTGGTCTATAGGTGTATGGACAGTAGAACATTATTACAGTTTATTGTACAATTAATTATTAAAATTATACATTTTATCATTGAATCTTCTGACTAAATATGGCAAACTAGGCTGTTGCTGTTTGCCGGTAGATGATATGCTATGGAAATGTACTGGTGCATAATTACCATATAACTTTAATACACTAAATTATACATGACTGTTCTTAATTTCTATGAAGAAGCCACTTCTTATAGAGAACAGGTGGTACACAACATTATAAGCCAACTGCTTGTATTGCTACAGGCACATAATAAGCTACATAATCGGTTAGTAATTTGTGTTGCAGCCTTGCTCTGTATCAGTGTAGATTGTGACATAAGCATAACCCCTGAAAAATTTTTTTAAAATAACTTTTGGGGAACTAAGTCAGGGTCTCAACTTGCTATTGAGAGTAAGAATATTAAAATACACCAGGTGCAATTTCGACATGTGGTTGTGCATCAGCAATTGTTATCTTGTTATGTCAGTCACTCAATTAGCTGACGATTAGCCATGTCAATTTTTAGGTTGGTAGTTAGTCTCGCCAGCTATCTAAACTTGTAGTAATCATAGCCGAATACTGACCGCCCTGACCTCAAGGGGGCGCCCCTTGATTTTGTTAGTCATTCTCACTCAGCTATCATATTAACATGGCAAAAGTCATGGCAAAATGTGTTGAATTGTAGGAATTTAGTTTTAAAGGCCCCCACCAGAGGTCCGGCCCCTATTTTGACATATTTCCTGTCCTATAGCGGAATTTCTCGTTTAAGTTCCACCTCCGAAGAATGACGCAAGCTGCTAATACCTATTCACGAAATGTGGGTGGGAACGTTGTGGTGATTTCCACTTCGGAGTGGAGAAATAGCAACAAGTAGAGCACTGACAGCTGTCAGTGTAGCTAGCTAGCATGCTAACCTTACCAGTTTACAATTTATAAAATTATCTTCTTTTTTTATTTCTATACAGACTAGCAGAAAAATAATTGAAACTTGACAATGATAATTTGCTGGTAAAAAATTAATAAAAATAAAAAATAAAAAACGTACGTTTGCACCCTGTATTTTAATTTGCTCCATGGCTCAGGCGGTTACATGCAGATTACGGCGAAAAGTTGTTTGGCTCAGCTCAGTCGCGACTCGCGAAGAGGAAGAACTTTGTAGGTGTTTCTGAATAACAAACAATGCCATGCTGGTGGGTGGTAACATTCAAATAAAACCCAGCCCTAAAAAGAAACTAAGACTGAACAGTATTAAGACGTCATATCACAGGGGAAACACACGGCATTGGCACGGAAAAAAAGTTACCACTTTGGATTTCCCACTTCAACCCCAAATAATATTATTATATCATACTTTGACTAAAACTGTGACTTATTGACTAGAAATCGTTTTGCAACATCATGGGTAAGCTATGGGCGTCTTCTTACAGCTGTAAACAAAAGTGAATTTCGGCTTTAGTGGGTGTTTAAAACGGCAAAAACCCCTCTCCACCCCATGGCAAAATGGGTAGAATTGCAGGAAATTAACTTTGTGTGTTTTATATCCGCTGTCAAGAGAGGGGCCACTGAAATGTTTTGCCACGAGATGGGGGGCCCCCCCAACCAAATCTCGGTTAGGGCCCCCAAAAGGCTAGGGCCGGCCCTGATTGTTTACACTGTAGTGCTGGAGAGTGGTTGCCAGGTGCATGCATATAAATGAGAGGAAGTGAAATAACAGTGTCATAGGCTTGCATCCCAAATGGCACCCTATTCCCTATTTAGTGCACTACTTTTGACCAGAGCCCTATGGGAATAGGGTGCCATTGGGACACAACCATAAAATGCCAACAGGTTGAAAAATACTGTTTTGACTCTTGTACACGCTTAGAAAAAAGGGTTCCAAAAGGGTTCTTCGGCTGTCCCCATAGGAGAACCATTTTTGCTTCCAGATAGAACCCTTTTTGGTTGAAGGTAGAACTCTTTTGGGTTCCATGTAGATCCCTCTGTGTAAAGGGTTCTACCTGGAACCAAAAAATGATTATTCAAAGGGTTCTCCTATGAGGACAGCTGAAGAACCCTTTTAGGTTCTAGATAGCGCCTTTTTTAAACACCTTGACTCACCTGTTTTATTCAATACTTCATCCACAACTTCTACATTTTCTAATCAGGGGATGTAAGCTTGTTGTGTTGTCAGGGGGTTATGAGAGTATGCATCACCATGGTTTGGATATTTAAACTGCCATCAAGTATGGTTTCAATTCCCTATTTGTAGATTGATACATGCTAAGAGATTCCTTTTGCATCTGCAATTTCAAAGAATATTATGACACTAAAAACAGAATTCAGACAAGGTCTTTCTAAGTGCTCTCTTTTCAGAATTGGCAAATATGTGGCTAGAAAATGAAAAAGTGGAATTACATTTTACTCATTTAGCAGACACTCTTATCCAGAGCGACTTACATGAGCAATTAGGGTTAAGTACCTTGCTCAAGGGTACATCGACAGATTTTACACCTAGGGGATTAGAAACAGCAACCTTTCGGTTACTGGCACAACGCTCTTAACCACTAAGCTACCTGCCGCCCTAGGTATAATGCATGCGCTTGTACTGTAACATATGGAAAGTTCTTAACGTATATAGTTGTTGTTATATCATTATTCATTGTTGCAATATAAGTTCATTTGTTTGAATCCATAGTAATATGGCAAAGCAGAGAAAATAAAACCCAGTGAAACACTTATCCATAGGCTATTACCTTTGTCAGCTGTAGCTCATCCAATCAGAACCAAAAAAACTGTAAGCCCTTGAAACCTATTTTAATTATTGTAGAATGCATGGAAGGTTTGTTAAAGATTGGAAACAATATTGTTAACACCGATAAAGGCCCGCAGTGCAACATATTGTTAGACGCTACAGATCTATTGATAGTTTTACAAAGACAAACCAAATTATACACTGAAGGTGCGCCAATTCTCTGGTCGTGTTCATTAGGCACCAAACAGAAGAAAACAGACTAAAACAGGGAGGGACTACCAGAAGTTTAGAAAATAAGAAATGCTACATTTTGTTTTCTGTTTCAAAATGTTTGAAGGCGTTTTACGTTTTGTACCCTAATGAATACAACCCAGTTCTCATCTGGAACAATGAATTGTCCTCTGCTGCTTTGCTGGCATTGGAGCCTGTATTGGGTTGTGTTAGCCT